TGTCTGTGTATTTTTGTTTGTTTTGTTTAAAATAATTTTTTATTGCCCACGATATTATTTTTTTGTCTTTTTTTAAAAATTTATTTTCTTTTTTAATAACTATAAATTCAAGCTTAGGGAAGCTTGCCTTTGTCTTGAAAAAACAACAAGAACAACAACAACAAAGCTGTTATATCATTTGCTAACCTGATCTCATTTTAAGAGAGAGATGGTAATTATATTGTAAGAGTAAAATTTATACCATGAATGATGCAGATCTAAGTCTGGTGGCATTAAAAGGAGATAGTGTTGTTGATAAAATTATAATCTGCTGGTGGCATTTGTGGAAAAGAACTTGAAATTTTTAAATAACAGTAAACTCCGTTAGAAAATTCTAAAGTGTCTCACAGACCAAATAGGGAATGAAGTTAGTAAAATGCCTCAACAGAGTTTGAATAAAACCCTGGATTTGAGAGTTATTAGAACTTGGGTATGTAAAAATAGGGTGGTAGGTTGGGGTCATGCTTACAATGGTCTCAAGTTCAAATAAACTATGTGACAATACACCACTCCACAGGTCACACACTTTCCCACAGGTTTTTCTTTCCTTTAGTAGGTCCTGGCAGAAGGTGTGCTCAGTTGCCTTCCAATACACACACACACACACACACACACACACACACAATCAAATATTACTCAGCCACCAAAAAGAATGAAATCTTGCCATTTGCAATGATGTGGATGGAGCCAGAATGTAGTATGCTAAGCAAAGTAAGTTAATCAGAGAAAGACAAATACCATATGACTTCACTCATGTGTGGAATTTGAGAAACAAAACAGATGAACATATGGGAAGGAGGGAAAAAGGAGAAGAGAGGGAAACAAACCACAAGAGATTCTTAATGATAGAGAACAAACTGAGGGTCGATGGAGGGAGCTGGGTGGGAGATGGGCTACATGGGTGATGGGCATTAAGCGGGGCACTTGCTGGGATGAGCAATGGGTGTTGTATATAAGTGATGAATCACTGTATTCTACTCCTGAAACCAATATTGCACTGTATGTTAACTAAAATTTAAATTAAAAAAAAAAAAGATATTAATCCTTCATCAAAAAACAAAAACAAAGTGGTAACAAGAGAGAAATAATAAACAAGAAAGCTTGAGTCCCAGGCAAAATTCTTGTATAAGCGGCACTTCATGCTGAAGAAAAACTGCATATCATGTAATAGAAGGTTCTTTCTATGTAGAGTCCTCCAATCTTGTATGGTGCCATGCTTCCTCAGTCGAAATCTCAGGTCTCCTTGAATACCACTTGTATTTGCCTCTCTTTTACAACTCCTTACTTGTTTTATCAGTTCTTTCCTCCCAACATCTTTTGGATTTGTAGGTCGTGAGTAAATATATAATGGCTCAATCCTAGGCCCCAACCCCTAATTTTTAGTATTGTTGTAGAGTTACAAATGATCATTAAGGCATTTAAGTGCATGAAACAGAGGAAAAAGTCTAGCCATGTCCTGGTGGCTATCCAGATTCTCTAATCTCACTCATCTGAAAAGCGGGGGCTAAAGAGAGGGACTCCAAAATCAGATCACGTACTTGACAACTTTGATTCGGAACCGCAGGTCTCCTGGCTCTCCATCCACGTGAGGCTCACCTAATCAGAAGAGATGATGGCATGTTGTAAGTCACACAAGTTGAACACTGCAAATCTATCCGCAGTTGAGAGAATTTTTTAAATCCATTACCTTGGGTGTTGCCTACCAAATCTACCCATGAAAGCAGTATCTCTAACTGGTTATATCAAGTTTCGGATTATTAGTAAAGATCACCTGTGTCTCAGGCACAGCAATAAACAACTTGACCTGTTTCCTAAACAAAGAAAGATTCATTGATTTCTTGAACCTGAAGTCTTAAAGCTTCTTTTTTTTTTTTTTTTTTTTTTTTTTTTTTTTTTTGGAGTTTTAAATTTAACCTCAAGGGGAGGTCTGAGAGTATCTTATCAATGTCAAGTAGAGCTATACATCTTTCATTGCTGAGTTAAAATTAATCCATTAAGGTCTGGACACTCTAATTTATTTATTTCTTTATTTATTAAACAGATTTTTTTTAAGTTTATTTATTTATATGGGGAGAGAGAGCACAAGCAGGGGAGGCAGAGAGAGGGAGAGAGAGAATCCCAAGCAGGTTCCAAGCTGTCAGTGCAAAGCCCGATGTGGGGGCTCAGTCTCACAAACTGTTAAGATCACGATCTGAGTTGAAATCAAGAGTTGGGACGCTCAACCAACTGAGCCACCCAGCACCCATGGACACCTTAAATTTTGATATAACTTAGGCTACTAGATAAAAAGTTACTAAGTGGTAACTTTTGGCCATTATATTCAAAAGATAAACTGTAATGCTATGGCTTAACGTGGACAACCACGAAGGTCCTGAAAGGTTTCAACCGGACAAAAGACTGTGGGACATATGTGCATTTACTATGTGGCCATTAGGATAGGGTGTGAGGTGGGGGTGGGAGGCATTCACAAGCACCCAGGGAATAGAAAGTGAGGACAGTAAAACATCAATATCAACATCTCACCTTCCCCAATAAAGGGATACTCCATGCCATCTCTCACCCCAGGTTCTATTTCTACCTCCAGCGTTCGTTCTTCATTCACTAGTCTGAGACAAAGAGAATTTAGAAAGAAAAAAAATGAAAATACAAACCAAACCCCAGATACACAATTTTTTTTCTGTTCTATCAGAGTCGTTTCTTGGAAGACTGTTCTGTACCTCTAGTTGACAAAGCCATCTGAGATCCATTTACATCTTCTATTTGCCAAAAGCTAGGGCAAAGCTACTCTACCTTACATAATCTTGTAACTTGCCTCCGAAGAAACCTGCAGTAGACTGATTACTTTGAGCCATGTGATCAATAACAGAGTAAACTACTCACACTTACATAAAGGGCACCTGGAACCACATGGTCATGTTTATCAAGAATCAGCAGCAAAGTTTGTCCTATCGGATATTTTTCCTGATCCCAGGATCCCAGGATATATATATATATCATACTGTTTAATTAAATAGTTGTGTTCCTAACATAATCAGCAAAGAGTCTTTCTCTAATCTGAAATGTTAGCTAGACATATAGGACTGCTCTAATATTCTGAGTGGGAAAAATGAAACATTAACATTTGAGGAGGATATTCAGAAATAAAGGGTGCTGCTTATTAGTTCAGAAACACAGAAGGCAATATTTAGAAGAAATACTTTTGGGAAATATAAAAATGTACATGTCTTTGTTCCATCCTCTGGTAGAACTTGAGAGCGTGTGAAAGAAGGGCATGGAAAGATAGGGGAAAATCTAGATCTAGACCATTAGCATTTTATCAGACAAATGACATGATTCGAGTGTCTCTTGGTGGAACAAAGAAAGCGCTCCACTTACTTGACATTAGGGCATTCATCACAGACCACCTCTTGGGTCATTTGGAAGCGCCCCGGGCCCAGCTGGGTAGTCCGCATCTCCTGCCGGCAGTTGCATTTTCGTTTGCCAGGAGCCTGCCTTGCCACAGGTTTGTTTCTAACTACCTAGAAACACATAAACAACGTCAGCTTCTCTCTCTGTAAAAAAGCCTCTGGTTTCCTCAACTGATCAGGGCTGCACACACGCCCATGCCAGAACTTCCTCTTCTCTGGCAAGCTACCCCTCAGGGAGACCCGACGCCGACAGAAGTCTCTGTGGACTTACAAATCAGACACCCCACAGGAATGAAGCAAACGGATGCTTAAGTGATTCAAATTCTGAAGCTGGAGAAGAGAGAGGGGAGTCAGAAGAGGGCCAGAAAATAACGTGTATGATATGGGCATTTCCGAGCCACAAGAAAACACTGCTGAGTTAAAGGAGTTCACAGAATTGCTATCCTTGAAGAAATCGGAGCCGTGCAAAGCAAAACCACAGCCTGAAGAACAACCACAGCCTTCAAAAGCTGATATTAGCTGCCACCATACCATTACCTACGATAAACCCAATGAAAACACTTCCTTGTTTCAGGCAACTCAATCCAGGGCTGTTTCCCACTGTTATCTCAATTCAGACACTGAACATGTAAGGGACACAATAATCATCTCTTTGTAGTTGCTTGCAATCAAACACGCCGATCGCTCAAGGTATGTGGGAAGCAGTACACGTGAAGAAATGTATTCCTGTGTTTGCCTGTTTAGTTAGCCAAACGTCAAATCACAAGGCATGTGCTCAGGCAGCAGGATGACACAAATGTTTGGGAGAAAAATCCCTTAAAGCCTACAAATATATGAAAGCCCAGGTCAGCAGAATAAATGACAACAGTAACAGCAATTAGAGCAGACACTTTATAGCACATACTACAAGGCAAGCAACGCTTTTACATGTATGAACTCATCCAGTCCTCACAACCAGCTCATGAGGCAGGTAGTGTTACTGTTTCTGTTGTACAGGGGAGGGAATGAAAGCACAGAAAGGTTCAGGAACACAACCAAAGTCACATAACTAGCACATGGCAGAGCTAGTGTTCGAAACCAGGCAGTCTAGCTCCAGAGTCCGTGCTTTTAACTACTATTCTCTCTCTCAAGGTAATTTTTCCCGGAAAAAGAATTTTCCACAGAGTCGTTTAAATAGCAAGGTCACCAACATAGATTTTTGTTTCGGGACACACTAACTGCAAAGGGTGATGTACACAGTATATACTGGTGATGTCTGCAGACAACAGGTCTGCAGGGAACATGGGGGTTAATCAGGCTCACCTCTTTTCTCCCAACCCAACAACCCATCTTGCTTTTGAAGGAGAGACGGCCCAAATACTTTCACTGCCCTTTCTCTCACCCTTCAGATTGAACAACAGTATGACGAGACAGCTGCATCCTCTGTAATTGTCCAGTCCTCTTTTTTCAACTCTTCAGAGCAGAAGCCACAACTAAAGAAAATGCTTCTTGTCGAGCTGGTACATATACGTGGGCTACCAGCTGGCTCCTCCCAAATCCTGGAAACACTATAAGACGTCGATTCCAGGAAACAATAATCATAACACGCAATTTGTGAGAAAGCTTCAGAGACAGAAGGCTGTACTGAACCGGTATGTGTGCAGCGTGGTGGCTGCATCTTGGGGCAGCGGTGGCTAGAGGGGGCACTGAGAAGGTGTCAGGGAAAAGCAGTTGACTTTTCTGCTGTCGCCTTGCTCCTGAACGGCCTTGGGACGAGTTTGGGTGACCCCCTCTCCTCCAAAACTGACAGACCCCAGACAGCAAACAAGACCGAAAAAAGCCCTCCCAGAAAACAAATAAAACACAGTTAGAACCACTAGGCAAGGGCTCGCCCCAAGATGCCCTCCCAGGGCAAGAAAGTTGCTGATCCCCATGGCGGAGGGAGTATGAGCTCAAAGGTCAAAAAACCATCTAGACACCTGAGCAGTCTGACTACATGCCCTCCACCTCCCACCCCCCAGAAAAGACAACAAACTGGATAAAACATATATTTTAAGCAAATGTATTAGGGAAGACAGACCAAGAATTTAAAATAAGCATGGTAGTATTTAAGGAGATAAGGGAAGGCATCAGCAAAGTGAAATAGAATAAGAAATAATGTAAGAATCCAGTAGAGATATTATGTATAAAAATACGAGTTGAAATAAAAACACAGCAATGGGATACTATTAGGATGGCTATAGCTAAAGACTGAAGTAATGAGCTGGAAGTCCCAAATAAGGCACTCTTCTAGAAGAAAGCAGGGGAGGCTAAAGAAGCAGAATTAAATATATATATATTTATTATATATGTACATATAATATATATATATACACTTATATATTTATATTTATAAGAAAATTAGGAGATAGAGGCAGAAATGCCAACAAAGAGGATTATATATCCGAAAACATGGAGATAAATTTTCCAAGACTAAAAAAAGATAACCTCAAATTAAAAGATCCCGAAGTTTTAGTAGAAAATATTATGTGAATCGTTTTCTGATTTTAGGGCAGAGAAGAATTTCTTACACAAGACACAAAAACTCACCATAAAAGACTGATAAATTTGGCCACATTAAAATCAATTACCTCTGTTCATTTAAACAAATCTTCGATATAATGAACACACCAGTTACAAACTGATAGGCTATATTTTTATCACATATGGCCAACAAAGACCAAACATATGAAAGTGTTTATCCTAATTAGCTGAGAACATGCAAATCAAGAGCGTAATGAGGTAGCATTTTTACCCATTTGACAGGCAAATATTGAGAAGCCTAACAATTCACGGTTTTAGAGAGGTGGCGATCTACAGGATCTCTTATAACTGGCTGGCGGAAGTGCTGGTACTAATCAATTGAGAAAACAATACGGAATTATCTTGTACAAATGAACGTTGGTTCATATTACCCAGCAATTCCACGCTCACATATATGCACCCAAGAGAAATTCTTGCTCACATGTACCTGGATATGTGTATAAGAATGTTCACAAAAGCACTATTGGGAAGTGGAAAAAAAAAAAAAACTGGAAATAACCTACGTGCCTACTGATACAACGTGGTCACAATAAAATTCTACTCAGCAGAATTACATGTTACAGCAACAACAGGCAGCAATCTTGATGACACTATAGTGAAAAAAGCCAGTCCCAAAGACTGTAAAAATAGCATCCTACCATACACGAAGTCAAAAGCAATAAAAATACAACAATATCTTACTCAGGTATTCATGTACATGTAATACAACAAACAAACAGGAGTGCCAAGGGAACAATAAAGACAGAACACAGGACAGGAGCTCCCTCTGAAGGGGAGGCAGGGGGATGGAATAGGGAAGTACGTGGAGGTAGACGGACATGGTCTTGCTGTATTTAGTTCTTGGGCTGGGTGAGGAGTTCATGAAACAATGGGATTATGAACCTGGGATTATGATGAACTCAATTCTGTGCATCTGGTCACTCTCCCCACCCCTGAAAGACAGAGCAGGTACCCAGAGATTTCCTGCTTTTAGTCAAAAGAACAATTCTGGGAATTAATATGAATAGCTGTGTTGTTGGAACTTACTTCCACAAAATTTCCCGCATATACTTCTTCCAAAGTAACTTCCAAATCTACAATAATATCACTTCCTCTTGGAATATTTCTGTCTTGCTGACGAGGGGTTCCTCCAAACATGAAACCAAAATCTCCAAAGAAGCTGTGGATAAGTGTAAAAATCATCAGGAAAAGAAATCAGAGTTCATGTCTTACAATTATTTTTCTTCACATTGATACAATATTGTGTCCTACCAACATAATATTGTATAAAAACTGACATTTTTAATACACTGGAGTCATACATCACACACAATTTTTTGTCATACATCATACACAACTGTACTGCCATATCCCACAGAAAAATTTTACTTTTTAATACATATTGTCCAGACATACGGTGCAGTGCATACAGTGCATCCATGAATTCAAAGTTGGGCATAATCAATGACCTACTAATCTGTTTTAATATCAAGGAATATCAAGATATAATGGACTTATCGAGAAAGGGCATAGTACATATAAAGTCATGTAATACTGACTCAAATGGTAATTTTGAACACTTGTAATGTTCACTTTGTGTAATTTTTAGAAACTAGCTTTAATTAAAGAAGCTACTGTTCTGTACAAAACTCTTGGGTACATAATTAAATAACCTAAAAAAGCATCAGACTTAGTACAATTCTGGACCTTAAGAAAAAGGACGTTCTGATCTCTACAAGATCAAAATCAGTTTTTATAAGTAACAAAAGCATCACTTTGAATTAATACAATGACCTTCAAATGTGCAGGTATTCTAATCTTAATGTTAATTTTTGATGTTAAGAAGCCTCAGATGTTGGCACAGTGATGCCAGCTAGATAACTACTCCCCACCCACCAACCAACCTTGGTGAATAGATTCCCTGAAATTTCAACAAAAACAGAGAGGGAGGATTGAGGAGGGGGGGCGGTGGTACAGATGGCGTTTTCTCTCTTTCTGGCATCCCTAGGTATCACTTCTAATTGTCAAGGGAACGGGACACTTCCTAGTAGGCTAAAACAACCAAATCAATCCTGGGGAAGAGAAGGATTTCCTAACCACATTACCCACACAAGTCCTGAAAAATCTACTGTCACCCCCAAATACTAGATGGGGGAGACTATTGTGTGCAACAGTGATTCTTACCTTCTTTGGGAAAGGGTTCACAAAACCCTTTAAGAATCTAAAGAAAGCAATAAACCCTCTCCCCATAGAAAAGCATACTCAAACATCTTTTTGTTTATACCTTGATTTGAAACCCCAGATTAAGATCTTATATGGCATCATCAGGGCACACAAAAATTCAAATGCTCAACAAAGAGGGGTTCAAAGAGTGGGAGGGAAAGGTGTTTATTATCCCAGCCACTCAGCACTCCTGGAAAGCCACGTGAGACAGGAGACAAAAAGCCTCGACTCTTAATTCCTTCCACCAATGCCGATTATTGTAGTTGTCTCTCTTGTTGATAGGATGAAAAAGAGGCAGTTCTGGGTATGGGAATAGAAATCTCTCGCTCTCTCTCTGCTCATAAGAAATAATTTCAGTTCATTAATGGTTTGCAGATTCTAAGACAGCGAGGGGACAACATACAGTGCCCCCAACATTGTCAAGGGTAACTTGACTGATTCAGTTGGCTGGACAGGAACCTGTATTTTCTAGAGCTTTATGAAAACAGAAGAGTATATTCCCACAGGGAGGAGGATGATTGACCTTGTGGTCAAGAATCAGTTGAGCTGTACTCTTCATCAAAAGCTTCTGAAGCAGGCAACAGGGATACATCTTTATTTATTTATTTTTTTCAACGTTTATTTATTTTTGGGACAGAGAGAGACAGAGCATGAATGGGGGAGGGGCAGAGAGAGAGGGAGACACAGAATCGGAAACAGGCTCCAGGCTCTGAGCCATCAGCCCAGAGCCTGACGCGGGGCTCAAACTCACGGACCGCGAGATCGTGACGTGGCTGAAGTCGGACGCTTAACCGACTGCGCCACCCAGGCGCCCCCAGGGATACATCTTTAACAATGACCGAATGATCCATTCTCAGACACTAATACTTTGCAGATGGGCAAATTACTTACTGTGAAAAAATGTCTCCATGGGAGCTCTGATGCCCATCTTTTAATCCCTCTTCACCATAAGTATCATATTGTTTCCTTTTCTCACTGTCTGACAGAACCTGGGGGACAAAAGCCAGTGGAGGAAAAGATCAGGGGTTGGCAAGATGTGATGAAGGTACATTCATGTTTTTTTTAAACTCTGATACTGGGTCTAAGCTTTGTGTGGAATGCAGTTTCCACTATGTATTAAGGCAGGTTTATATTTTCTTTGGCAGACTGAATTCTTTGATGCACTGTTCATTTTGGAACTTCTACATTGCTCAACTCATGTCTTCAATTTATCAAAATTCGCCTAGTCACATAAAAACCATATGAGATAAGCACTGTGGCTATGAAGGTGAGGGCAGCAACAGGAAAGAGGGGAGATGAATTCCTCAGGGTTACTTCCCATTCGGTGTGATTCTTGTGCTCGTGCAGTTAACCTGTAGGAGGCAGTAGCTCTCTGAACCATAAATTAGGATGGGACTATGACAGATTGCCATTAGTGATAGAAGCAGTAAATCAGGACAGCATGAAAATCTGCTCAGTCCTACCTACATGTCCATATCATATATACCCCTCCATGTTATACACATTAGGAGACTGACAAGTCAAGGGAATCAAATGGCCCTTCAGAAGGGTCTATCCTGCTCTATTTTCACATTCCCTTTTCTATTTTGGGCGGTATCTAGAAATCCATTTGTCGAAGAATGCTCTCTGACATGTGTATGTTTAAGTTTGTAATCTTCTGAGTTTGAATTACATAAAGTAAAAAACAAAACAAAACACTGCTCTATGAAGACTGCTCAAGGTCAATTTCACAGCTTGAAAAGATTGGACCCATTTGAAGAATATAAAAACTAAATAAGCTTCCATACTCTTTCAAATTTGCTTTCAACATGCCCCCCC